AAAAAAAAAAAAAAAAAAGAAATGTATGTCCACTCTCTTTTTATCTGTGTTAATCTTCTCAGATGTTTATCAATTTATTGACTATTTCAAAGAACAGGCTTTTTATATTATTGATTTTCTCTATTTTTTTTTTTTTTTTACTAAGGAACATTTGTCCTGAGCTAACATCTGTGCCAATCTTTCTCTATTTTTTATGTGGATTGCTGCAACAGCATCGCCGCTGATGAGTGGTGTAGGTCTGCACCCAGGAACCGAGCCCAGGCCGCTAAAGCGGAGCGTGCTGAACTTAACCACCAGGCCACAGGGCTGGCCCCTGTTTTTGTGTTTTCAATTTCTTCTCTGATCTGTATTATTTCCTTTCTTCTACTTGCTTTGGTTTTATTTTGCTCTGTGTGGCATGGTAGCTTAGATTATTAATTTGAGACTTTTTTTTTTTCTATTTTAATGTAAGCATTCAGTTCTATAAATTTCCCTCTTAGCACTGTTTGAGCTCCATCCCACAAATTTTCGTATACTTTTAATACTCATTTTAATTATACTTTCATTCAGTTTACATATTTCTTGATTCAATTTGAGCCTTCCTCTGTGACCCATGGATTATTTGAAAGTGTGCTCTTTGGTTTCCAAGTGTTTGGAATATTTCCTGTTGTCCTTGTTATTTATTTCTAGTTTCACATGTGGTCTGAGTACATGCTCTGTGTGATTTCAAAACGTTTACATTTGTTGAGGTTTGTTTTATGAGCCAGAAACAAATGACTATAAACAGCATTCTTGTTGACTGTTCCATGGGTGCTTGAAAAGGATGTATATTCTGCTTTTGTTGGGTGGAGTGTTCTATAAATGTGAGATTCTGTTGGTTAATGGTGTTATTCAGATTTTCTCTATCACTGCTGATTTTGTGTCTAGTGTTGCTATCAATCACTGAAAGAGGAATGTTGAAATTTCCAACTATAATTGTGGAATTGTCTATTTCTCCTTTCAGTTCTATTACCTTTTGCTTTGTGTATTTGACAGTTTTCTTGTTTGTTGCATACACATTTATGATTGCTGTATTTTCTTGGTCATTATATATTTCTTTATCATTATGTAACTAACATCCCTCTTTGTCCCTGTTAATTTTCTTGGCTCTAAAGTATACTTTATCTGATATTAATATAGCCACTGCTGCATTTTTATTAATGTTTGCATGGTTTATCTTTGTCCATCTCTTTTATTTTCAACCTACCTATATTGTCATGTTTGAGGTAAATTTCTCTTTTATTTTCAACCTACCTATATTGTCATATTTGAGGTAAATTTTTCATGGATAGCATATAGAGGTGTCCTGCTTCCACCACCCCCCCTTTGACAATCTCTGTCTTTTAATTGGTATATTAGACCATTTATATTTAAAGTAGTTATTGACATATTGGGACTAAATATGCCATTTTTCTTTGATTTTTAAATTTTTTTCTCTGTTTCTTGTTCCTGTTTTTCTCATTTAGTTTGTGTGTGTGTGTGTGGTGGGGGGCAGGGGGGTTCTTTACCTTCTTTTAGGTACTTGGACATTTTTTAGAATTCAGTTTTGATTCATGTATGGTGTTTTTGGGGTATATATCTTTGTATGTTTTTTTGTTTTGTTTTTTGTTTTTCTTAGTCGTTACTCTAGGTATTAAAATGTGCATGTGTAACTTATCACAGTCTACTGTCATCAACATCTTAGCAATTTGAGTGAAGTGTAGAAACCTTACTTCTGTTAGGTCCCTTTACACTCACTATTCTTTTAATATGGTTGTCTTGGGAGTTTACTCTTCATATGTTAAGCCCCATATTGAATGATGTTATAGTTTTTGTTTCAACTGTCAAACATTTTTAAAAGCTTGTGAGAAGAAGGAGTGGTCTATTTACCTCTATTTCCTACCCTTTTCATTATTCTTCCATCCTGAAGTTTTAAGGCGCCTTCTGCTAGCGTTTCCTTCTTGTTTGGAAAACTTCTTGTAGCCATTCTTTTAGGGTTGGTCTGTTGGTGACAAATGTTCTTTGTTTTCTTTCATCTGAGAATGTCTTCATTTCTTCATTCCTGAAGGAAATTTTTGTGCAATATACTGTTCATGGTTGACAGTTCTTTTCTTGTAGTACTTGAAAAATGTTATGCCACTTCCTCCAGGCCTCCAGGTTTCAGGTGAGAAATCTGCCATTAAAACCACTGTTCCCCTACAGGTAGTATGTCTTTTCTCTCTAGCTGCTTTTAAAATGTTTGTCTTTGTCAGAAATTTGATTATGCTGGTGTAGAATTTTTTTAATTATCCTGTTTGGGATTTGTTGAGGTTTTTGAATCTATAGATGTTTACCTGTTGCCAATTTGGGGAAAATTTCAGCCTTTATTTCTTCCAGTATTATTTTTAGACCCACCCTCTTTCTCCTTTTTTCTGGGACTTCAATAACATGAATATTAGATATCTCTCGCTCTTTTTTTTTTTTTAATTGCCCCCCAGGTCCCTGAGGCTCTGCTTTGTTTTGTTTTTTAATTTTTCCTGTTTTATTTCTGTTCGGATTGAGTAATTTCTATTGACCTGTCTTTGGGGAAGAGAGCAAGGAGTGGAGTGCCAACTCCCCTCATTACTTCTGGGTGGGGTTGGAAGATGAGCTCCGCCGCTGGGCCTTCATGACACTACCCTGGAAGTGAAAGAGGAATGCTGCCTTGGACCACCTCCTTCTGCTTTGCTACTAGGTGAGGGTGAGAGTTTAGCTCTCCCATCCATGAAAAGGGAAGTAGCGTGTGGGCTTCTGTATTATGGTTGTCCAAATGTGGGGCAGAAGGAAGAGGGAAGATTGAAAGCTAGAAATGATCAAACATCAAAAGTAGAGTCAGATTCTTACATTATACCTTTGGTTGGCTGGTTGAATAGGAAAAACCCAGGCCTTGTTCACAGATGGATGGATCACCTTAATAGTTGGGGGGTAAGCTGCAAATGAACTGATGATACATCACATCCCACCTAGAGTGGCCCTAAAGGACATTGGTGTGGAGAAATCCTCTCCATGGCTAGATCTTGGGCCAGTACGATTGGGCGTCACTTGTATTGGGAGAAGTGGCCTCAAGTAAGGATATATGTGTACGTGGCAAATGGCTTGTCTGGTTGTTCAGAAGCACTGAAGAGTCAAGATTGGCAGATCAGTGACAAGTTTGTATGGAACAGGGGCATGAGGTTCCTGGAGGGAGTGCAAAGTGAATGGATATTTATGTCCCACATCCGTGCCTGCAAGAAGACACCCATTGCAGAGGAGGAGGGGAGGGGAGCAGAGGAGTTGAGATTAGCTAGGCTCAGTCCTCAGCCTTCCCAGTCTGTGCACTCGAGGGATATAGATACAGTAGCTATGGTGGCAGGAACGGAGGTTTTGAATGGGCCCAACAAACAACATGGCATCCCACTTGCCACAACTGAAATAGCTGCTTCCCTTTCTGAATGTCTAACCTGCCACTTACAAAGATGAACACTAAGATCGTGATACAGTACAATCTCTATAGGAGGCCAAACTGCCACTTGGTGTTAGATTGTTTACATCAGATCTGTTCCCTCCTGGAGGGGTCACTGGTTCATCCTTACTGGGATTGATACTATTTCTGAATGTGGTATTCCCTGCCAACGGGGCCTGTCCAGACACCATTATAACAGAGTGTAGTGACTACTCGATCCACCAGCATTGTGGTTGGCCATCACCCTGAAGATGCAATCACTGTGTAGACACAAATGGATTGAGGTCTTGCACGGGAGGTTCTGTCGCCAACGCTGTTGAGATCCTGCTCCACACAACCCACTTTCCCCCAAGTCTTGTCAAAGGGCCTCTAGCAGGGTGGAGCCATCTTTGCCCTTGGCATCAACCTGCTCCCTGATGGAAATTGTACTGCCTTCTCCACCTTGTCTCACCACCCACCCCACTCCTGTTCATCCTGAGGTGACTTCTCAGGTAAACTCCCCGTACCCCAGGAATCATCTCACAGTTTTTTGTCATAAAATATCAAATGTAAAAAATTCTGTTGTCACGTTTTCTTCCCATTAATCAGCTCCTTCTGATTTTCACTTTCTTCCCACTATCACTTCTGTGGATTATTGTGTTTTTTTGGTGTGTGAGGAAGATTAGCCCTGAGCTAACTGTTGCCAATCCTCCTCTTTTTGCTGAGGAAGATTGGCCCTGGGCTAACATCCATGCCCATCTTCCTCTACTTTATATGGGACGCTTGCCACAGCATGGCTTGATAAGTGGTGCGTAGGTCTGCACTTGGGATCTGAACCTGCGAACCCTGGGCCGCCCAAGTGGAGTGTGTGAACTTAACCACTACAACACTGGGCCAGCCCCTGTGGATTATTACTTCATACTCCTTTTCCGAAAGTTCTCCCCTTTTTTGCCTCATTCTATGGGCCTTGCCATACAAGGCCCTAAACCTAGATTAGTCATAAGCCCCACATTTTCTGACCTGATTCAGGCTGTTGGGGAAGTCTGGAGAGAACTGAACTGCTATCTCCACCACCCCACAAGCCTCTCCACCCCCTAATTCCTACATACATTCATTGAGTTCAGCATCATTTGGGCCTCCTCTCAGGGTTCCAATTTTATGTTTACAACTTGAACATACTCAGTTATGCCACCAAAAGAAAGAGGCGAAATACCTGCCCTCATCCTCATGTCTTCTGATCCATTTTCTTCAAGCAGCTCTTCTCTGCACAGGTAAAAACCTAGATGCTCATAAAGTAAACGGAAGTCCATGGAGGATCCAGGTCAGTATTTTCTGGCCTTGTCTTCACTATTTCTGGAACCCCACTGCTCTTCACTGATTAAAGGAACTTGAGATGAAATTTTCTGTGTTGGTCTTCCTAAATCATGGTAACCCCAGGGTGCATTTACCCAGGAGCTCTGTGCTGCCCCCCACTGTGGCTGTCTACAGCTTTTCCCTTGCGATATTCATATTTTCAGCCTATAAAATGATACGCCAGATGTGTGTGGTTATCTTCCCTCAGTCTGCCCCCCAACGTTTTCACCTAGTGTAAAAGAAATTCAAAGCTTTTATTGCTTTCTTGCATATTCTCTTGCCATTTCCTCCCTTGTTCTTTTGGATAAGTGTAGGGGAGTACCTGAGGTGCATCACTGAGTTATCTTTAGTTAAACGTTGCTTGTGTATTGAAGTATAATTTGCATCCAGATGTATTGAAGTATGATTTGGATTCAATAGTAATCTCTCTTTTAAGGGTATATTTTGATGAATTTTGACAAATACATATGCAATTTTGTGACCACTACCACCACCGAGATGTGAAATGTTTCCATCACCCCAAATGTTCCATCATGCAAACTCCTCTCCCAGACTCTAGCCTTAGGGACTACTGATTTATTTTCTTTCTCTACATTTTTTCCTCTTTTAGAATGTCAAGTGAATGGAATCATTCAATATATGGCCTTTTTTCCCTGATATTTTCACTTGGCATAATGATTTTGAGATTCATTCTTGTTGTTCCTTGTTTCTTCCATTTCTAGCCAAGTACTATTTTGTTTTCTGCATATGCTACAATTTCTTCATCCATTAACCAGTTTATGGACAACTTGTCCAAGTTTTTGGCTATTCTGAATAAAATTGCCATGAATATTCGCAACAGGTATTTAGATGGAGACATTTTAACTTGTGTAAATATTTAGGAGGAGAACTGCTGTGTCGTGTGGTATGTGTATATTTACCTATAGAGAGAACTGCCAAATTGTTTTCCAAAATGGCAGGACCAATTGGTGTTCTCCCCTACAATGCAGGGGAGTTCCAGTTGTTCTGCATCCTCATCAGCACTTGATATTGTTAGTGTTTTTAATGTTAGCAGTGCTAGCAGGTATGTAGTTATCTTACTGTAGTTTTAAATGGCATTGCTGGAAGGACTGATGATACTGAGCATCTTTTCATATGTTTGTTAATCATATATCTTTATTTATCCAAATCCTTTGTTTGTTTCTTAACATTGAATTGTAAGATTTTATTTTCTTCTTTTTTAATATTCTGGATGCTAGTTCTTTATCAGACATCTATTTTGCAAATAGTTTTTCTCAGTCATTGGCTTATCTTTTTATTTTCTTAGCTGTCTTTTGAAGAGTAGATGTTTTTAATCCTGATGTAATCCAAAATTTATTTTTTCTTTTATGTGTTCTTTTTGTATACTATCTAACTAATTAGAGATTGTCCAACCCGAGATTGCAAAGCTTTGACTTATGCTTTCTTCTAGGCATTTTATGGTTTTAGTTCTTATGTGGTGGTCTAAGACCCATTTTGAGTTAGTGTTTATATATGGTCTGAGGTAAGGATTTTATATTATTTTTCAACATACTATATTTTATAACCAAGCACATCACCTCGGGGGCATACCCATTAGAAATGAAATGTATTTTGTTACACCAAAATACATACACCACACAAAGGTTTATAACAATTTCGTAATAATCAAGACCTGGAAATAATTCAAAGGATAGTCGTCTATAAGATACTTACATAAACTGTGAAACAGTCATTAAACGGAAGAACACAGAGATTAAAACTGCTGCTTTCATGCAACAAAATGGATTAATTTCATAGAAAAAAGTACTTTGAGTGGCAGTGTATGTTAGACACAAAGTAGTAAATACTGTAGAATTCTACAGATAAGTTCTTAACCTGGAAAACCTACTACATGGTGATAAAGGACACAATATTGGTCACATTTGTGCAGTATCAACTGAGGGGAGGCAGGTAATGTGACTGTGAAGCTATTGGGAACATTCTCTCTGCACGGCTAGAGGTTACTTGCAAAACACGTTTAAGTAGTCTTCAAGCCCCACTCTTAAGATTTGTCCACTTAACCTCATTGAATTATACATGTAAGAAGAAAGAAAAAAAAGATTAATAAATTAATACTAGTGCACCCCCATTAAAAAATGGACATAGATGTCTTTGTGTGCCCTTTGTGAGCCTCCAGAGTGCAGAGTCCATCCTCCACTCTTACTTTTCTGCAAGTAGAAAAAGTTTGACACCTTAAGTGTGTATCACGAAGAGTAGGTGTTATATTTTTGTCTAATTTTGAAATGTGAATGGAATAATGCTTTACAGTTGCTTTTTTGTATTACCTGGATATATTATCCCGTTATTTTTAAAGATTTTTTGAGATGAACGTATACCTGTCTAATTATCATCCTTTACTTAAAATATGTATGTTAAATATGTATGTTACCTCAGACCATATATAAACACTATATACATCCTTTTACTAATATTCCTTTTAATGGAATTTATTAATTGCATCTCATGAGAGTATGTAGAGATGTCATTATTTTGGGGAGGTTGAAAAGCAAAGCTTCAAGTTGAATGTCCTTTAATAATTTTAAAACAACAGAATTATGCTTTGAATAATAGAGCTTGAGCACTTTAAAGGACCATAGAGATGCCCTCACTGTAATGATGAAAAAATGGAGGTGCAGAGAAGTCAGGTGATGAGCCCAAGCCCATACTCTTTTTTTTTTTTTTTTTTTTTTTTT